TATATGTATTATTAATGTGTTTCTTGAATAACTTTTTTTCATTTATGTTTAAAATCTTTGATCCACTTAGATTTTTTGTGTCTAATTTGAATTTGTTATAACTTCTATTATTGATAAATAACCATTTTTTTCATTAAAATATACACAACAAGATTTATTCTTGATCAAAAAAACTTATATAAAAAATCTCTTTTGATGGTTTTTCAGTGACTTTTAATAAACATAGTAGTTTTTAATATAGAAATCATATCTATACAAGATAATTATATCCATAATTTCCATTTTGAATCACTGTACTATTCAGTTTAAAGATATAACTAGAGTAATATTAAAGAATTATTTTTGCAAAATGTATACATCTCTTAATTAATAGATGTCGATGTAGATGATTTTTCATAATATTTCACATATTATCTTGAAGTTTTTTAAGATAGAATTGTGTCACCTATTGAATACCATCAAAAGATCAAAAGGAAATCTCTTTCCAAATTCTGAAAGTGGATTATAACTTGAAAATCAGTAGATTTATTACTTGATAATTTTGTCTTAATGACTTTTTTAACATATTATTTACATAATTAAATTTTACATATGGCTATATGAAATATATTGCATTAATCTATGCAAAGTTCTTGTCTGTTAAAAAGAATTTGGGCTGTAACTTCTGATTTTAAAATATATAAAAAAACTTTTGTATTACACCTGTTCGTATTTCTTCTTTATATTAACCATTATTTTCAAAAAATAAGTATGATATTGAAAATCCAATATCATATACTTCTGCATGTAAAATATATAGTTTAAATCCCATATTATTTGTACTATAAGTAGTATTAATTCCATATTCCTTAATCCCAAAATTGCTTATTTGCTCAAGAATTCTGGTGTCAAATGCCAATACATAGACAAATTCTACTTTATATAATAAAACTTTATATTGGTTTTTCAAAAGTCAAATGTATGTAGATTCAAATGCATTATTATAACATTTATATCTATCTTGACCTAACTGTGTCTACCAAAAGTGAATCTGTTTTTGTTTAATAAATAATGGTAAATCAAAATTTTCATTACTGACAAGTCATGTATAAATTTCTCTTGAAAGAAGATCTATATTACTTTTTATAAAATCTTTGATATTTTGCAGTATAGGATTGTCTATTGGCTTAGTATGCAAATCTTGATGATATAAAGTAATTTTAGCTATGCATGTAACTTCATTAACTAAAATTTTTAGAACTTCACTACATTTAAATCTTTCCATTGATGGAATGTTTCTTTACTTTGATAGATCAGCATTCTTGTATGATTTTTGAATAAAATATCTCATTGTGAACAGTAATACCAGTAAGTGATTGACTCTTTACTCTTTATATTGTCAATTATAAATCCAACTATATTCATTAACATCTTCAATTAATTCAACAATTTCATTAATGAGGTCTTTACTTTAATTGCCATAGTCATTGATATTTATTTTACAATGGAAATACCATTCTGATTATACATTTTTCAAAGATTCTATAATAGTTTCGCTAAGGTAGTTTATGTAAATTATTATTTATAGGACTTTTTCATTTTAGAGAATCTTTGATGACAATTATTACAAATTTTAAATTTTTAGAAACACCTCCAGCTCCGTTATCAATAAATTCTGATGATATTTTAAAAGTTTTACAGCCGTTGCAGTAAGTATCTATCAAAAAAGATTTTATTTATTTAAAAAAGAGTATTAATACAAAAAAAGATATGCTTAGAGACATTTTTTTTATTTTTCTTTTATTTATTGATATTGATAACAAAGTCAAAAAAATAAATACACGAAAATTAATACAGTTAACCCTCTATAATTGCACACTCTGTAAATGCACATCCTCTATAAATGCATCCTTTTTCCCAGTCCTAACTTGGGACTTAATACTAATTGCACACCCTCTATACTCTACACGTGTAACAATTTATCAAAATGATCATATGATATTATTCTCTATAAATGCACGTACGTGATCTGTACAAAATCTAAAATTCTCAAATTTCTTGAATTCACGTCTGAAATTTCTGAAATTCCTTACTAAAATTTCTGAAGTATATAATGATACGCAGTATGCGCAATTTGATAAACATCTCATTAATCATCATGCTGCCTAAAAAAAATATTATTTTAACGGATATCAAAAATATGAACTTTGTCTTCATGCTCGTGATAATAAGAAGACTTGAACTCAATATGTAGACTGGGTTGAACAAAAGTGGGGAGTCAGAGTTAATGAATCTACCATTATGCGAATTTTGCAAAATAAAGATAAACGACTTACTGAGAAAGTTACAAAGCCTGTTAATGTTTTAGAACTTAAGCTTGCTCTTAAAGAATTTGTCTTGTGCTATCAGAATAAAATGATTCTAAGCGATGCTATAATAATTAAAAAGGCTAAATTATTAGCTAATGAACTGAAAGTTCCTCAAGGAACATTACAGGTTAATTTCTCTTATTTTTAATAATACAAGCGAATTTATTTAACAGTTAGAGTTATTCTTTTAATGGTAGTGTTTAATATTTAACTCTTATTTATTAATATTTATTTAATATAGTTTTCCAAAGGGTGGCTCTAAAAATTTAAGAAACGTAATGGCATTCATCAAGTAAAGCTTCATAGAGAAGTAGATTCTGCTGATGATAATGCTATTGCTGAAGCTCTGCCATTATTACAAAGTAAATGTGCAGAGTATCCTCCTGATCAAATTTACAACATGAACGAAACAGGACTTTTTTATCAGTAGGTATTATTTTATATAAATATTAATGCTGATTGTATATTAAAATGAATTTCTTTTTATAGATTAGAATCAGATCGAACATTAGCTACAAAGTGGCTTTTTGGGCATAAAAAAAATAAAGAACGTCTTTCAGTTGCTTTATATGTAAATGCTGATGAATCACATAAGTTACATCCTTTAATAATTGGTAAATATGCAAATCCACGATGCTTTAAACATATTAATATTAGAAATTTACCAATGACCTATCAGAATAATAAAAAGGCTTAGATGTTAACAACTCTTTTTTAAGAATGACTTCAAGAATTTAATTATCAGATTGGCATAAAACACAATAGATAACGTATTTTGTTACTTCTTGATAATTGTACAAGTCATAAGCTAGATAATCTAATTCTTGAAAATGTTGAAGTTTATTACCACCTAACACAACTTCTAAGCTTCAACCAATGGATTCTAAAATAATCATGTCCTTTAAAAAGCATTATCGCTATCATTACATCTGGTAATTTTCATTAATTAAAGCTCTTCATTTACCTAATATGATGCGGATAAAAGAATTTTTAACTATTCCTGAAGAAGATATAATTTATGAAATTCCTAATACCTCAGAATTTGCAGATATGTTTAACAATGGGAATACAGATCATTCAGATGAAATTGATGATAGTGATGAAGTAGAAATCATTTACAACAATGAGACATTACGAAGTTTAAGAATTGTGAATTTATTTTTACTTCAACAGAAGAATGCAAGTAAACAAATAAAATTGGCGGGTAAAATTGAGAAATTTATTAAAAAAGAAAAATTTAATTCAATGCAACAGATTAATATTGATCAATATTTTAGATAATTGTTTTAATTTTTGTAGTGATAATCATTTTAATTGTAATTTCTATAATTCTTAATAAATAAATATGACTATTATTTTATATATAAATCACGTGATCTCATAATTCAATTATAGAGGGTTGACAGATGCAATTAATAAATATACAACGAAATCTAAACGTGTAATAAACACGTATTAAGTAATAAAAACGTGGCAAATTGAGAAAAACTGCGCAGTACTTAAGCCACAAAAGTCACATGCCCGAGTTTTTTTGTCGGGAAGATCGATCTACCTTGCGTTATCACATGAGGTGGCGTAGTATTCCTGATAGTTCTAGGACATTATGGAAATATTTTTTTTCTGTTACCATTTGTTCTGTTTCCCGTTTGTCATTTTCCTTTAATCCTAAAAAAATGAGTGTCGCAACTGAGACATGCCCAACCAAGTGACTAGGGAAACCAGACAAGCCTCCAAAATTAACCAGGTATTTAAGTGATGTTTAAACCAAATTAAGAAATGGCAATTATGGCTAACGAAGTATGATAGATCTTCGCAAAGATTGATGACTCATTAACGCAAGTGAAAGGTCAAAACATTATAAAGATCAATATCCCAGATCTTGAAAAAGTTGATAAACACATACGTGAGGCCATACATAATAATTATAATGCTCAAATAATCGATGGTGACATATTTATTAAGGTAAGTTTTATCCCGAATTACATTTACGTTTATTATTAAATCTGACCTAATTTTATATTAGTATGACGGAGGAAATAAAGAAGGAATTCAATTCGAACTTGCAATTTCGGCTAGGGCACATAATCCGATTTGGTGGGTAACGCTTAATACGGTATGCGTTGCTGGAGGTAATGATTATCGACCAGATGTTGGGATATGGTTTCAAGCGCCAACGTTTGCACAACGGCAAAATCCAATCGCAAATTCTTGTCCGCCGCCGAATGTATACATAGAGGTAACTAAATTCTTGCAACGAATAATTGTAAATAGCTTTGCTTACTATGCTTGAATCCTTGCAGGTGTTTTATAACAAAGATCCGGATAGAGCAAATGCATTAACTAGAATTGCTCGGGTTCAACAAAGTAATCCTACGATTGAATTCGTTGGATTCGCGCTTCTTGAACTAGTTCGTCCCTACCACCAGAATCCTAATCCCGGGGTAGCCTCAATTCCTGCAACTCCAGTTAATAACCAAAATCAAAGACCTAATCGGGCTCCATACCTTATACACTGGAATGCTAACAACATTCCGGTTTATTATAGAATAGACTGGAATGAGCATTTGATCCTTAGGTGTGGATGGACGCTCCAAATGAATATTGTGCTTAGTATACTCTCTAGGCCTTAAATGAAGTTGGCTATTATATACATGAATAAATGATTAATGTTTTTTTTACCAATATTGTCATAAACATTTTATTTTCACAGATAGATAAACAGATGATTAAAATATAGATTTTACATTTGCAGATAATACAAAAATAAAGTTTAAAATATTTTGCTGAAATTTCAAATTTTCCCGAGTCTTTTCTACTCTCATTTCGATTACATTTTTTCAAGTGATCATTAGGAAGTATTTCGCGAATTCATAGTTTAGTTTCTCTGAGCCCTATGCTCTTTATACAAATTTTTATAGGCGTCAAGTCTATCCTCAAGTTCCTTTCTAAACAAATAACAGCCATAAGAATTTTGCGATATTTATTTGCAATTCAAATGTAAAATCACGTGTATTATAAGCTATTTATTATACAGGGAGGTGACATAAATATTGCATATTTTTTTCGCGAGACTTTAATCAGTTAATTTTAGAATATAAATAATA